GTCTACATTCAGGAGTCTTTCTCCTCTCGAGCTGAGCAGCAAGGACAGAAGGTTCGAGCGCTGGTGTGTTATCCCGGCGGTGAAGGTGTACTTTTTGCTGTGAGAGTAAAGTCCGAAGTCACCTTTTTTATTGCTATTGTGCTATGAGAACTGTAAGATTGACCTCGCAGTAAGTTTGGGCACGATCTTACAGTGCCGTCCATACCTTATATGGATGAACATGTCTTGCATTTGTATCTTTGTATCGTTGTATTGAGTTTACGAAGCTAGGTGGTTACGTGGTCTTGGTTGGCGATGGGATCAAGGACCATGACAAGGTTGCTTTCTTCATGCGTTTTCTCCAGCCAGTACGGCGCACGATGCTATATCCGAGCACAAGGTGTGGTTCGTTGAGACGATTGAGGGTGCGATAGGGGGAGTAGTTGCGTGGTACGGCTACATGTTGAGTTTGGAAAGATACATCAGTACGGTGCACGGTGAATGGCGTTGGCCTGTGTTGCTGGTCGAAGATCTAAGTGAGGGGGCGATTGGGAAGAAGGGACGAAGCCACGTCAGGTACGTGGTGCGGCTACACGTACATAAGGATGAATGATTGTGGGAAGACGCATCAATGCGGCGCATGATGAATGGCGTTGGGTTGTGATGCTGATCGAAGATCTAAAAAAAAGGGGGGGGGGGCGATTGGGACACGTGTACAACTACGTGTGGATAAGGACATAGCGATTGAGATGTGGCCACGACAGTTTAGGCGGGATGACATAGCAGGTGGCATAACGGGAAAGTGAAGGTGTGGGAAAGGTGCCGATTAGGGGGCAAAATAGTAGAAGGTGGGCGTGTATCATAACTCATGCATAGTGGAATTTGAAGGTATGTGTGAAGAGGGATAATAACGGAGGTTCAAGTGAAGATGAGCTACGGGGGTAGATGAGGTGGATTAGTCGGAATATGAGAGGTAGCGACGTCAGCACGTACGTTGCTCCGAACTCGCAATGAAGTACGAAGGACAGTAAGAGTCGGCGGGAATATAATTCGGCAAGACCGGTAAGTGTTGAAACAGGCGGGAGTGTACCTTACATACTGCGCGAAGTTGCGAGAAGCAAGAGGATCTGTTGGGATAGGCACGGGAACCATCGGTACGCATGCGGGCCCAAGGACGTGGAAGAGGTAGAGGGCGGTGGTCGAATTGCAGGAGATATTGGATGGAGAACGCTCCACTCCCTCCCCCACCTGGCGTGATGCCGGGATCGACATATCAACCCCCAACTGCACCTTTCCAAGTGCCGAACGGGTTTTACCAGCAGCCATATCAAGCAGCGCCGTACGGTTATCCGCCAATTCAGCAGGGGTGCACGGCGGCACCTCCTCCACTTCAGTGGAATGGACAAGGAGGAGCATCTACGAGCAATCCCGGGCAGTATAACCAAGGCTACGGGCGCGGTAACGGCGTGAACTATGAGCCTCGCACATTCTTTACGAAGGAGCAAGCGGATTTTATCGACAAGCTGAAGCTGAAGGACGCTGTGGAAGTAGCAAGAAAAAGGGATCAGGATGAGATCGCGAGACTGAAGGCCGTGCAAGAAGAGAGCGAGAAGAAGAAAGGGAAAGGGAAAGGTGAGACGAAAGAACAAGGAAAAAAGCATGGTGCGCGAGAGAAGGGAAAGACGAAGGTATCGGTGGAGGGAAAAGAAGATAGTATGAAGAAATGGGTGGCAGAAAACTTTGGGAATTCGCTGCGGATTCTGACGGCGAAACTGGAGGACGTAGAGAAAAAATCGAAATTGAAAGAGGGAGAGGTAGAAGAATTAAGAATGCTAAGGATGGTGAAGGAATTGAGGGAGATGCGGGAGAGCTCCAGTAGCGAGAAACGAAAAAGGGAGCGAGCCTCCCCGGCTCGAGTTGGAAACAACAAAACCAAATCGAGAACTAGTGTATTGAAGAGGCGGAGCAAAGGTAAGAAGCCTGTGGAAATCCCCTCTGATGACAGTGGGAAGGAGAGGGATGCAGTAGTGCAGAATTTAGAAGCTAAGATGGATGATTCGGCCGGCAACTTGAAGGAAGTGGCGCAACTGAAGGACCTACTCTTGGAAATTCTGGCTGCAAAAGGGAGAGAAAGCAGCGGGGGCAGCAAGGAAACCAAGCCAACCGAGGACAAGGAGAGCAGGAAGGAGAAGGCTCATATAGGAGATGAGCAGGAGGAGCACACGGAAGGGGATGAAGAAGGTGAGACAAACGGAAAGACCAGAGACTGTACACTTGGGCTGTATTTCAAGGACAGGGTGATCTACTACGATGCCATGCACTACACGAAAGTGCAGGAATTATGCAAAAAGAGAGGGGTTACATACAAGAGGAAGGAAGCGGTAGTTTGGGAGCTCGCACGTCTAGACTTTGAAGTACTCTTGAAGATGGAGAAAAGTGAAGAGAAAGAAGATGCAGAGGCCAAGGAGAGTGAAGCGGAGACACATGTATCGGACAGCAGCTCCAACTCAGATCCCGACGAGAAGTCGGAGGAAGAAGACGACATTGCGGGAAACTAGGCAATGCGAGCAAGAGATCAATTCTGAGGCTCTACAAGAGATTAGTGAAGCTTCATGGAGACTTGGGCTCGCTGATCGATGAGGAAGTTCAGCGCATGAAGAGATTGCTTGTCTTGTGGCTTTGTATGAGGGGTGATATTAAATGGGGAAGAGCGTATTCCCGATATTGGTTGGAAATGAAACCGAAAGAAAGGGAGAAGGTATTGAATGCTGACTCATGCGTGTATTTACTGATTTTCCGGTTCTTTAAACTAACGTACGTAGGAAAAACCGAGAGGGCACTCCAAACTAGATGGAGAGAACACATGCATGTGACGAAAACTGCACCTAAGCAAAAATTGCATAGATGGTTGCAGAAGGTTGAACAAGCTAGCTACGTTGCTATACGTGTGTGGTTTGGAAGTAAGAATGCCTTGTCAAGCATGGAAGCCTTTATCATTGGGGCCAATAACCCGGGCTTAAATGCCAAGAAAGCGAAGAAGCCGACAAGGAGGAAACCGAGAGAGCAGACTAAAGACAAAGATGTGCAGTATAGGCACAAAAACGTCATTTTATTTGAATGTGAACAACTGAAAATAGAAGGGGAACCTAGTCTACTGAAAATCCTTAAGAAGCAGGTAATATTAAAAATCTGAGTATTGTAAATAATAATGGGCAACAATGGTTGAATGCTTGGGGGTTGGTAAAATTACTCTTCGGTTCAAGTATTATAGAGAAGGCAGGAAAGAAAATGTTAATGAAAGATGCGAAACTGTTCATCCAACAGGGAGGGAAATGAAACATTGTAAAGCTTGTAAAAACAAAGAACCGATCAGAAATGGCAAAGGCTGAAGTGATTAACTTGCTCCGTGCCCCATGGAAAAGGAAAACTTTGTACAAAAAGAGTTTGGATGAGCTCGTGGAACTAAATGTTGGGGTTAAATTACTAAACGCAGTGAGAGGGAGGCAAATCATTAGGGGACTGCTGACAAGGGTCACTAAGCAGCGTTTTGGTATTAACCTGAGGCACAGGATCACGGTAAAATTACCGTATGGGGAGACGATAAGCAAAGGAAAAATACAAAGTAAATTCAAGAAATGGCTGCATGATAAGATTGTGCCGGCGAACCTGTCTAACTTGGTGATTGGTAGGATGAGAACTGTCTGGCAGAAACGAAAGTCTGTTGGGGAGATCCTACATAAGCACCAACGCTTTGCAAGAGGAAGTGGATGGTCCTGCACTTGCAAAGCATTTGACTTGCCACGTTGCGACGGGCAGGTCCAAGTTAGACTTGGGGAGGTCGAGGGGATAAAAGAGTGGGTAGGCGATGCGAAGAATGTTCCTGTGCCTGGTAATTTTCTCACTGCAAAAGAAGTGAATTTCGCATGCAATGAGGCCTTGGAACCTCTAAAAAAGATGCGATGCATGAAGGAGAACTGAAAATTTCAGGTAAACTGGAAAGAATATGGCACAAACGCTAGGAATTCGGGCGGATTCGACACAGAGTATGTGTTGGGACTGAAGCAAGCCTTCATGGGACTTGTATCCTCACCACTTGACAGGAACCCAGGGGCTACAGTGCTTGAATGCCCAGTGCTATATGAGAGGGCAATGAAAAAAACCTACAATAATAATGATGGGTACAAGAGAATCACTGAGGAAGGGGGGGGTGTTTTGAGAAGAATGAAGAAGGAATATCATGATAAAAAACTCACGAAGATGGCAAAATGGGACCAGAAAGGAAAGCTGCAGCAGGCTTATATACTGTCGAAGGATAAAGACTTGGACAAGAAAAGGCCTATTGTACCATCATTTCTTAGTCCCATCAAGTGTGCAATGGGATATCTGTCGCAGAGTTTGAATTTTCTGATAAAAAGACGAAGGATAAGGCACTTCAACATTGAGGGTGCAAAGAGCCTGAAAGAAAAGATTGAGAAATGCAACAAACAAGCCAATGACTCACTGGGTGAGAGCTGCCGTATCACAGCAAGAACATATGATGTGAAAGAAATGTTCATTAAGCTACCGCACGGTGAAATCATTAAAGCAGTAAATTGGATTGTGCAACATTTTCGGGATCAAGGTCACAACTGGATTCGACTGAAGATCAGAGGAAAGAAAGCTACTTTTGGAAAATCACACAATGAATCTGGATGGAAATCTGTACTGATGAATGGATTGATAGTCCTAACGKAATTSCARCTTAACAACACKTTCTTCTACTCGWYGGAACAGCTAATGCAGCAGAYAGTTGGRATCCCAATGGGAGGGAGGGCGAGTCCACCCTTGGCCAACATAATGTGTATGTTTGCGGAACACCAATTTATCACATCCCTTGGATGTGATGCAAGATGCATTGACGGGGGAAGGTTTGTTCATGACCTGCTGTCAATCGGGTGGTATGATTCAAGGCGACACAGAGGCAAAGAAGAAATGGAAGAACTGTTGGACAGGATTGATCAATGCTACCATGAGGATCTGTTACTTGAGAGAACAGATGGTGGTAATGGGGTACTAGAGTATTTGGAGACACGAATGATTGTGGTAGACAGACCTGCATGGATATATACACTGCACAAATTCAAAAATTTGGAGACGATCTGGAGAGGAGAGAAGGGGCGGTTCGTAACCTTGAGGGATTTTGACTCGTATGCACCCAGCGTACCGAAATTCGCAGCTATCTTTAACACCATTTGCATGCTGATTGATAATACCAACTCGAAAGTTACGACTTGGTGGAGCCTCGTGACTTTGAGCAAGGAGCTGAAGGTAATTGGGTACCCAAGGGAATTGTTCGAAGCTGCAGTAAAAAAAGCAGCAAGAAGAGAAAACAGTGTTTTTTGGCAAGAAATGTGCTTGCGCATTTTGAATTGGGACGAGGATGGGGAGGGAAAAGACGGGGAGGGAGGGTGGGGAAGTTCAGGCGGAGAGGCACACAAGAGGCGCTAGCAGGAGCCTCCGTAAAAAAATGGCCAGATACAGATGAAGAAATCGTACCTCCGAGGGGGACTGTGATAACATCGGCCACGCGAGACCACATACATGCCTGGTTCGTCCCATTTTTTCGGCAGTGTGAATTTTTATTTTATCGGAAAATGCTTTTTTCGAATTTTGAAGTATAGACTTGTATCCAATACCTCCAGAAGCAGTGAGAGTGCTACCGGCCCTTGGCGGTGCGCACAAGCGAGTTAGATAAAAATAAGTTTTTGAGGATTTTTTGGGGGTAAATGATTTTTATCCAGAAAGGCAGTGGGAAATGTTACCGGCCCGTGGCGGCGCTCGCATGCGAGGTAAACGG